GTTTTGTTTTGTGTTCTTGTTTGTTTTTTTTCTGTAGTTTGTGTTAAAAAATAATAAAAAGACTTTGATCAAAAAACTTGTTCTAATACCTAAATAAAGAACATTTTTTAAACAACACACTGACTGCCAATTATTCTGTAAAATATGTTTTTGTATGGTAAACAAAAAAGAAATCTTAATTGTTCGAGGAGGCAACACTTAATATATTTCTTTATAATTGGATTTTTTTTATTGCAGACAATGTTTTGGATCTACATGATGATCACAAGTCTGACAAGAACAGTGTTGACAAAAGGTACATTTTATAAACTATACAATTAACCAACTGATTTGTCATTTAAAATATACATTTTATCACTTTGTTGAATATCTTCTTATAACTGAGGTATATTTTGAATTTAGTTTAGAGGTTTTAGTTAATGGTTTGCTTAATAATTGAATTCATGTAGTAACTGTAGTACTTTTTATATAAGATACATTTCAAACAGAAATGTTCAAAGAAAAAAACACTTTGGCTGACTTGTATTTGTCTGTCAGGATCAACAGCTTGTGATCTGAACGACTCTTCTGAMACCCTCCAGTGTTTTGCAGCCCTCGGGGGACCGCTGATCTTTCACCTGCCAACTGATATCAACATACGAACAAGTTTGCAGAAGAATGAAAATATCATTTTTAGTTTTGCCAAAAAAACAGGGCTGCGTGGGAAATATTGGAACACTGGAAAAAACAGCTACAACTTCAAAAATGGAACATTTATTGTTGACAAAGTATCGAGGAATTACTCTGGAGATTATGAACAAACAGTCAACCATGTAGAAAGTGGAACATTGATCAGAAAAAACAAAATCATCCTAAATATTTTAGGTAAATTTGAACTCTGTTTTGTTCAAAATGTTTACATAAGTTTGGTTCATAAAAATATTTTGCAAAGAGCCTTTTACACAATCTCAAGATTCCACAGTTTTGACCATTAGTAAGTTAAATTATGTTTTATGATTAAAAAGTTAAACAAAGTACAAAGTAACTATGGCTGGGCGGGTTTTGGGGGACTAGATTTTTCAGGCTCATCCTACAGATGAGCAAGTGCAAACACAAGTGCAAACAACAATCGTGGCTTCAGATACACACCCCCATAAACTCACTTACATCTCTGGTTAATAAATGTGCTCTTGCTCTGCAGAGGCTTTTTCTACAAATAGTGTGTCACATTTAGTGGACATAATGTTATTGGGTTTTTTTCCTCATCTATCCTTATGTGGTATTTTGTTTTTCTTTTAAGGGTAGCACCGCCTCATGATGTTCTTTCATGATGATGATCCTTGCTCGGTACAGGGGTCTATGGCTKYATGACCCAGGGCACCTGTTCTCCTATGTTTTGTTATGTCCTGTCTTCTTGTGAATGGGAGTTCTGAACTTTCATTGTGCTGTGTACAATAACAAWAAAGGCTTATCTTGTCTTGTCTTGTCTTATCTTACCTTATTGTCAAGTTTTTGTCTTTCAGCTCCAGTATCAGAACCAGCCATGTCTCAGACATGTTTGTCACCAGATCTGATGACGGTCAGCTGCTCAGCAGAGGGAGACGATGTAAACTTGACTTTGTCTTTGGACAAGAACAAACTGATACAGAGCAGGAGTGCAGAAAACGAAGAAGGTTTAAACGTTACCATCGACTTATACGGTCAGCTTGGAGGAAACCTAATGTGTGATGTTCACAACAATGTCAGCCACAAACAGAGAACCATCCAACTTACAATCTGCAAAGGTTAGATTTGTTTTATTTGCACCACAGCACTGTTACTGCTGGGAGGTGTGTTAAATTGTCTTTTCAGAGTCAGTTTCAGTTTCTCATCAGACTTAATGTTTGTTTTTTAGGAGCTACTTCTGCAGCTGTGGCTGTGCTGGCATGTGTGCTTGTTCTACTTCTTATTTTGATCGTGTTTCTTGGTTTCAAGCTCTTCTGTCAGAAAARAAGCCTTCCAGTCCCAACTGATAAAAATGGTAAAAAAAAAACACATGTCCCACTCTAAAGTTCTTCTTCTCACACATTAAACATTAGACCTGTTTTTTCTTCATTCAGGTGATCCTGGAGATGTCATTTACTCAGATGTGCGAGTGGTTCAGCTGCAGTGATGTCGTCCGTTTGATGTCCTGCTGCTCTTTTATAGCTGGACCCTGTCTGCAAGTCATTTGACATTTTAGTTGCCTCAATACAGGTTTTGTATAAGAAAATTTAAGTGTAGGTTTTCTTTTTAGATTCAGCGGTTGAATTTTTAAACGTATTTGGTACAAACTCAATTTAAAAATAYGTTCAATATTTCATTTGCATAATATTAACAACATTCAATTAATCTGCAAAATAATTGTGTACATAATCTAATATTTATTTTTATTTTAAAATCCAAAATTTTATGTCAGAGTCTTGTAGTTTACTTTTTTCAATAAAATGCTAAATTGCTTATGTTGTCAGCCTATTTCTAAATCTGCTTTTTTATTATATTTACTCATCAATACATTTTTAATTATTTTGTTTTATGTAACATTTAACATACTTTTTGTATATATTTTAAAAATTACACCAGTTTGATCATAAAACAAAACTATGATGTACAGTATTCAGCATGAAACATGTTTTTGTTTTAATTTTAACAAGTTAAACCATTTGCATTAAAGATTTAGTTTTTGTAATCCCATTTCATCTTTTACGATGGAGTATCTGTCCCGTGCACATCGATCACAGTCTGGTTTGGAGCAGCCACCCAGCAGGACAAGAACAGACTGCAATGAACAATCAGGTCAGCTGAGAGAGTCTTTGGTGCTCCACTGCCCACGATTCAGGACTTGTACGCTGCAAGAACCAGGAAACGGGCAGAGAAAATCATGTCAGACTTCATATACAAAGCCTCTTTCAACTTCTCCCCTCCGGCAGGCACCATAGAGCCCAATGCTCAAAAACAACCAGACACAAAAACAGCTTCTTCCCCCAGGCCATCTCTCTGATGAACAATCCCAAACACTGGACCTCTTAACTAGTGCCTAATGCATATATTATTATTGTATATAATCCACAGACTATAATGTTTATGTCTTATGCTATTGTGCTTCCATCACTGTGTATATTGTATGCATGTGAATTGTAGAGACATCATCTGCCAGAAACAAATTCCTTGTGTGTGTCAACATATTTGGCCAATAAAGCTGATTTTGATTCTGATTCTGATTCTGATTCTGATTCTGATTAGGGCCAGACTGGGAGAATTCCTATTTTAAACCACAAAAATAAAGTCATACAAGAATAAAGTCAAAATATTATGAAAATATAGTCGTAATTAGCAGAATAAAATATTAATGCAATAGTAATTGCATTCTGGTAATTGCAATATTACCAGCAGGAAGTTGTAAATTTTTGAGAAAAAAAGTTGTTTTAAGGAGAAAACAAAACTTCAGTAAGTATATTAGATAATTTGATGCTGATGTGTTAAAAGATGAAGTATATCTTTAAATTTTATTTGTTTATTTTTTACCGTGTCCTGTCCGGCGATGTGAAACTCAGAATTGTTGTCTGCGTGTCCAAATGAAGCCCAACAGTTTTACTTTCACAAGTACAGCAAAATGGCATTTTACCATGATGCTCCACTTGATATATGTTTAAACATTTATTATAAATTCTTTTGGGATTAACTCATTATGATGYACATGGAGACAGAAAAAGTAAACAAATAAGAGAAAAAGGAGAAAAGTGAAGAAAGAGATTGAAAGGGAAACAAGAAGAAATGAGAGAGATGCTTTAAGAAAACACAAGACAACACATTTGAAGTCTGCCTCCACACCTGCAACAAGAGAGAAAACAAAAGCACAGCAACAAAATATATACAGAATGTATACAATAATAATAATTATAGCCTCACTGAAAAGTACTCAGTATAATTTTATGAGTAGAACATAATAATAATAATAATAAAAATATATTCACAAAATACATACATACATACATACATACATACATACATACATACATACATACATACATACATAC